AGATAATATCTTGTGGGTGGAAGAGAGGACAAGATGCTCCCAGTGTTTTACAGTGACCCTAAGCAGAGACAAATTTAAATCTGAAGCTGCTGCTGCAAAGAGGAGGCGCACACATGCACACAGATGCGCACGTACACACAGGGTTTTCATTTAAATCTCGGCTTTGCTTAACTCACCAAACAAGAATTGTGGTCTGTGGCTGTGTGTTGAACATGGTAAAGGTTTCAATTAAAGTAGGAGGAACAATACCCACCCTGCATCCAGCAGCTGTCTGGGTTGGCTTTCGGTTGTACACTGTCTAGAGAGGATACAGAGAGGCTGAAAGGGACTAGGCAAGTGGTGTTTTAGCGGTGTTTTCTGTGGCATATAGTTACAACGTCAACCGTAAAAAAAATGACAGGGTAGCAATACAGTTGTACAGGATATTAGTTTAGGATCACCATCAATTCTATGGTTTCATAGGACTTGTAAAGGCCAATTCAGTGTCTTTGTTAACCTCTATATATGCCTTTTGGTTTTGGGCTGAGCTGACTTACATAATAGCATTTATTCTGGGGCCTGTGTTTCCCAGTCAGTCTGTTTAAAATCCTCTTGGAACTGACTACAAGAGTCCAGACTGAAGCCATCTTGTTTTGAAGCTCTCCTTTCCTGCAGTTCTTCAGTCCATCTGTCCCACTAACAGTCTTTTAATTGAGAGTCCTCCCCTGTCTGATGCTGGCCATTGCTGACTGTCAGTGTTTATACAATTGGGCTGGGACAGGGACTGCGAGCCAAGCAAAACATCCATGAAACATCAAGCCTCGAGCTAAACAAAACCCAGCAGTGAGACACACACACTTGAGCCAGATAAGGGATGAAAATGATGCTTTCTGAACGCAGCTAGGTTAAGTTGTTGACCAGAGCGGCAACACGGCAGCTGGAAAGGAGTGTTGACTGTTGTCTGGGTCTAATTGCTACAGCATTGTGGGATTTTACGCACTTGCTAACAGCTTTTGCTTCCTAGCTACTCATTTTTCGAGTGATTTACTAAGTCGCACACACACTTGCTCAAACACACCCCTCTGTCCTTTTCCTCACCGTCGTCGTCTTTAGTTGTGAGCCAAAGAGGAAACCCTGGCGAGACGTTAGCACAGTGACTAATGCATGTGTATCTGGCCGGGGCGCAGATAACATAGCCTCCTCCCCCGGCCTGCTGTGACAAATATGTGCGAGTGTAGCAGTGGGATCCAGGCCCAAGCTTGTCCCTGACCCAGCCCAGGCCAGACGCAGGTTAAACCACGGCCAAATGCAACCCAGAGCCACACTGTCCAGAAGCACAGAGTTATGAGTACGTGAGAAACTGGAGAAGAAGTCAGTATGATTTTGTCTTTCTTGTTTCCTCTTTCAAGCCACACACGCAGACGAATCCACATCCTTGATGATCTTGTTTGTGATGACCATCTCTGACACATCCGCCTGCTCCCTCTCTTAAAAAATTCTGTAATCAGTCTGTAATCTTTCATCTTATGGTGTATGATCAATTTTGATGCTTTCATATCTCAAACATCTCTTCTGTTACGCTTCTCTTACACACTCCTGACTGAATGTTGAACAATACACAAATTAATCCCGAGAAATAACAGGCGCAGTCCGTCCCCTCCCTTCCCTTTTCTCCCGTCAGTGCCTCCTCAGTTGAGGGGGCTTGCTGCTTTAATGCTTCTTAATGCTGCTGTCTGCTTAATGGGCCAGATATGAGAGGTGCTGCTAGCCAGCGTAATAAGTCAGTGATTAGAGGGCGCCTTGTCACAGCAGCAGCCCCGCAGACAGTGGCACACTTTAATTGCCGTATTAGACGCCCCTTAACTATTTTGTCAGCTGTCAGACCCCAGCTCGTAAACAGCAGAGGTGCATTTGATATTTCCATTTGTTTATTTCCGTCTGCTCCTGTTAGTGCTGCCGGAGAGAGAGGTAATTAGAAAAGGGTTGTGTTGTGTGACATGACTGTGCTAAATCTGGATACTCTCAATTATCGTTTGCAAAATCTTTATGCAGGAGGAGTTACACAAAAAAGGAAAATCATGTGTGGCAAAAAAATCTGACATAGATTCACTTTAAGGCGGAGTGACAGTCTAACCAGTGGACAAAAGTGTGCAACAGAATTATGGCAGCAATTAATGACTGTCTTTCTTAACGAAAACATTTCCCAGAGCCTTCATATCAAGTCTTCATATTGCAAAATATCTCATATTACCAGTCAATTAATAGAAACTATTCACATTTGAGAAGCAGTCAAGTATTTGGCAATTAATCAGTTACCAAAACTGCTGCTGATCGACGGATAGATGAATAAACTAATTTTTTCCAGCTCTAAACGGGATTGGATTTTTAGAGAGTAGTTAATGCAAAAGCAGTTTTCTGGAGATTCGATTTCTTTGTCATTTTAGAATTACGTTAAATTACATATGTACAGAAAATAACAATTGATTAAATGGGGGAAGAATATATTACAGATGAATCCTTAACCATAAATTTCTAAATAGGAGTTTAGGCTAAATTGTGTGTATCCTAAATCGTGACAACATAGAAAACTGCATGTAAATGTGAAGAGCAGCATCCTAGAACAACTGTATAAACATAGACGTTGCTTCAAATACACTGTAGATTTTACAGTAAAAGACTTTTCTAAATGCAAATATTCTTTGACCTATTTCTGATGACAGCAGGGCAGACTTTTGAGTTTATCCCTGTATCTGAAAGGTCACAGGTTTGACCCTCGCCCGTGGCCTATGAGTCTTCATGAAGAGACACATCTACTACTGCGTAAGTGTCCTTGTTGGAAGGAACACTGAACTCACTTTTTGCACGCTGCTCTGGATAAGAACGTCAGCTCGGTGCATAACATATGTACACTCCAACTGACACATGGCATATAATCCCCATGCACTGCGAGGATTGCCGAGCCCGCACCTGGAGAGCTTAAAAATGGTGTAAAGTCAAATAATCTCTGTCTCCTGTCTCATTCGGTGTCAAACAGTGAGGTGACATGGTTAGAAGTGGTGTAATTTTGTGTTTAATCTTGGATTAGCCCGTGTTCACTTTGACACCTCCAGTTACTAATCTGGTTTACAACACCTTAGGGCGAGAAAGACGGCGGGGGGTGGGTTCTGATAGATTTTATGGTCCCTTAGTAGATTATGAGTGATCTGACTTTTATATCCTGAATTACAGGATATAGGTGTAATCCACAGACTAGGTAATGTCGTTTGCTGCTTTTAAATGCCAGAATGTGCACTTGGGTCAATAGTGGCGGGTTCGGGTGCGTGCGCGTGAGTAAAGAGCAGAAATACTCATCTGCCTCAGCTGTAAAGCAACGCATCAGGAAGGGCTGATGTGCTGCTGATCCTTTTTCTATCTGGAAGTGCTGATTAGCTGTTTTTGACATTGTGAAATATAGGTTGCTGGCGCAGACATGGACTCCAACCTACGACCCTTTGTGAGCATGTCTGTGTCATTTCGTTGTCACACCGTTGCCTTGTAGGAACAACAGTGAGACAATGAGAGATAGCATTTTTAGTGCAGATTGTAAATACATAAAGTCTCGGGCTCTGATAACTGGGGGACAAGCAGTCACTTTGTCATTCCTTCTCTGACATACACCCTCATCCCTATCTCTATAGATAGTGCCTTCACTTTTTGATCTGACAAGTTTCCTCACTGGATCATTAGGATTTTCCTGTCAAAATAAATAGGCAGCCCCTCACAGCAGCCACCTTGTACACTACAGCCAATTTCCTCCCTCACGCATTCTTGAAATATTTTTAGCTAATTTTCATGATTACAGATTTTCTTTCTTTGCAACCTAAAGAATTTACACATAGGAAAAACCCTCAGTCATTCAGCACTGACTCAACACCATATGTGCCAAAGGTAAAATACATTATTCTCATAGTGTGGAATTGCTGTTTTATTATGCCAAGTTATTAACTCGTAGTTTTTCTATTCTAACATGAGCAGCAAACATACTTAAATTAGATGTTTATGTTAAGGACATACAGAATTTGATAAAAAAAACAAAGATAAGTCTGTGTTTTACGAATGAAAGGTTTCCAATTTTTTTTTTTCTCCAGTCCTCCTACAGCTGCAGATTCCCTTTAGGCAGTTTGGGTTGCAAAAGTGTTACTATCTTTATTCATCAATTCATCTTGATAATGTTAAAAAATGTCTGATAAACAAAAGTCAGCCAGTGCGTATTGAGATTCATGTTTCTAATTTCTTTTCCTCTTTTCACTCCTTTTGCTCCGACTTCTTGTTTCTCCCTGTCGTGTGAAATTTACGGCTTGCAGCTGCTGCACTCATTTGGGTGATGGAGCTGTATTCATTTGTGTGGATTTCTGTGTTCATCACACATTGTCTCCGTGCTGTACAGTCTCTTTATTGTTTGACGAATGTGAAACATCTTACAGGATCAAATGACCACCCGGCAAATTGTACCTGAATCTTTTTGGTTTTTAACGGCCCTTTATCTAGGCGTGAGCCACAGCACGGCCATGCATTGTGCTGCACTGAGTTGCCCTCGTCAAGTCTGGACACTTAACCTCTCACTACTAAAAGCTTTCCGGGGTCAGACTAAGTGCAGCTCTAGTGTTGAGTAATGGAGCCTCAGTCAAAACAAGTTACATTTCTATGTTTTCAGGAGGGGAAGTCCTTTTGTCGGTTCAAGTGAACTCTGGGAAATGACAGTATGGAGAGGCCGGTTCACACACTGGAATGAAATAGTAGATGGGAAATTTGTGGGCTGAGAATTATTCTTTGTGGCACTGGCTGCAACTGTGGATATGTTTTGTATTACATTGTCGTCACATTTCTAACCACAAAATACTTGTTAAGGAAACTATTGCGCTATTGACTATTGCAGAACAGTCTCATCCACACTGCACCGACTGCTTCTTCCTTATATTTATGACTGCTAAACTGATAACTGCTCTTTAGTTCGCACCCATTATCTCTCCTTCGTACTGGAGTTGTGACTGATGTGGATTTCTCTCTTTCTCTGTTCTGTGTTTCTACAGGCCATTCGCTGCACACTGGTGAACTGCACATGTGAGTGTTTCCAGCCGGGCAAGATTCACTTACGAACATGTGACCAGTGCAAACATGGCTGGGTGGCTCACGGTAAGGACATTTCATTGTTAGGATGATGGGTGTATTTAAATATTGTATAAATTCATATGAACTTTGTATCTGACCCTCATAAAACTGCTTCTTCTTGCTGTGAAGAGAAGGGAGGTCCTGACCTACATATCTGGACTTTCTACTGTGTATAGAAAATTAACACAGATACAGCAGCATGAATGCATCTCACACATCTCACACAAAAAATGTGTTTTGCACTGTTTTTTATTTGCTGCAGAATCCAGATTCTCTCTGCCTGTGGTTGTGATTGTACTGAAACCCAAATGTTTTCACTCATTTTCAACAGTAGAAGTAACTTTGCTATTTTTGTTTGCTTCTGTATTTTTCAACTGCTTTCAAAGTCTTGTTATTGCACCTTAGATCAAAAAACAAAAAAAAGAAAAAAGAAAAAAAAGAACACGACCACAAGACAGATACAGAAGCAAGAGACCACACCTTATGGGTTTTTCACGCGGGTAGAAGAAAAAGGGAGAGGAGGCAAGAAAGTACAAAGAGAAGGAGGAGGGGAAAAAAGATAAAAGAAAACACCTGTTTGGCTTGCGTCCGCACAAGAGCGGGCCATGGGCCCTTCAGCGGATCGCACAGGACCCCATTGACTATTTTTTAATCTCTCCCTCTGAACTGTCAGGCGCCCATCTCTCCTCTCCCCCACTTTTCATTTCATGTCGGCATTGGCAGGGACTCTGACAAGTAGTTCTTCATTTTTTATTATGTTCGTGTCTGGCTGCGCTGTGTTGTCAGGCAAAGCCCTCGTCAGCAGGAAAAAGCCGTCCCAGGATCAGAGAGAGACCCAACCAGGTGTCACCCAGACAGGCAGGGGAAGAGGGGAGGGAGAGGGGGGAGAGAGAGAGAGGTATGAGGTAAGGGAGGAGAGAGGGATTGAGGCAGGGAGGGGGAGAGAGAGAGTGAGAGAGAGAGTCGACCAGGTGTCGCCCAGACAGCCAGAGAGGAGAAAGAGGTGACTGAGGCCGTGTTAGAGGGGGCAATAACAAAACCCACCTTGCGCTCACAATTAAGCTTTATGAGCAGCAACGAGTGTTCGGCTTTTTTTTTCACCCCTCAGGCAACACACAGGTTACTTCATCTTATTTCTGGAGTTTGTTGTGGCTCCTGAGAGAAAGACCTGCAGACATAACTCAGGGCCAAAAAAAGCACTCCCACCTCTTCTTCATGATTTGTGGGTTAAAATGATTTCATCAAAGTGTGTTTTTATTTACAGTTAATAGCCTCCCAAAAACACACTACTCAATACAAATTAAAAATTAGTCTAATTCAAGTATCGATAAAGTATTCATCGTTAATCCAGCAATTATTTTGTTTTACATTACAACCACCATTATAAAAAACATGGAAACCAATTTCTTATTCTTTCTAGACTGATTATAAATGTGGGTCAACACAGTAAAGGAAATAGTGATATCATAAATAGCAGAACCCAAACCTACACTCTTCTTGCCTTCTTGGTGCACAAACCATTTAAGCGCGTTTTTGATTAGGTACAAATAAATCAGATGTAAATTAAAGCAATAAGAAAAGCAGGTGTGGTGACAAATGGGAATAATTAAGGTTAGATACAAAAGAGGATGTAATGCAGGTTAAAGGGGGGATAGATACAGAGCAGGCAAATAAAAGAACGAGATGCAAGAGCAGCGTAATGCGAAAGAGCAAGATTAGATTAAATGGAAAGAATGGCGGATAATTACATTAATGCCATTGCATTTATCTGATAGATATGTTATTATCAGCTCGTGCTGACTGTGCAGTAGCCTCCTGAGGAAGATCTGAGATGAGAGAGAAACTTGATAGTCATTAACCGTGCCTTTCTATGTGTGTGTGTGTGTGTGTGTGTCTGTGTGTCTGTGTGTCTGCATTTTCTTTTCTTTTTGCCCTTTGTCACCCGCTCATTCACGCAGCTCTGGACAAGCTCAGCACCCAGCACCTCTACCACCCGACCCAGGTGGAGATCGTGCAGTCCAATGTGGTGTTCGACATCAGCAGTCTGATGCTGTACGGCACCCAGGCCGTACCTGTCAGGCTCAAGATCCTTCTGGACCGCCTCTTCTCCGTGCTCAAGCAGGAAGAGGTGCTGCACATCCTACACGGCCTGGGCTGGACCCTCCGAGACTACGTCAGGGGCTACATACTGCAGGTCAGTGACCAACATTCGTGCTACAGCGACGAACACATGTAAAGCATCATATGGGTTTAGTGTAAAAAGTCAACACGGAATATAAGAAGTACTTGCTCTGTGCTTACACACCATTGCATACCCTACACGTGCTTTTATATTTGCCTGCAATTTTCAGTGATTTCTGAAAGCGGGAAGAGAGTCCACAGTGATCACTACCATTACTTTCTCACCAAGTGTATCTACAAATTTCTTTGGCATTGCAGCTATTTTGAGAGGTATTGATCAAAACCACAATAGTGACAATCTAGGCCACTTCAGTCCCATTGCCCATCATTTTCCTCACATTTTCCCTGCTGTTACTTTTACTTCAGTCTGCCTCCTTTTCCTGCCCTGTCAACACTATGCCCCTCTGCTGGAAAAAGGAAAGGAATAAAAAAGTGGAGAAAAATGTCACACCAGCAAACTATAAAACCACTGTAGTGCGTTTCCTCTCTCCATCCATTCCTCCTCCCTCCCTCCCATATAATTGCAGTCAGACACATTTCTCAATCAAAGGTACGGAGGTTTTGGTGTTGAAACCCAAACCAAAGTGTTCCTGAATGAATTAGTTAAGAGCGAGTGAACATGTGCATGTGGTTAGCTGTGTGTGTGTGTTTGTGTGTATATGAGTATATGAGTGTGAGTGTGTGTGTGTGCTTATCTGTATGCGTATATAGTTTAGTGTTCCAAGAGTGTAAGTGGAACAGCATGGTGAGGAGAGGGCGGTTTGTATGTGGAAACAGCTTCTGTGAGTAAAGCGCTCGCAGATCCAGTCCCTTATCTGAGACAGAGCACGCACACACACACACACACACACACACACACACACACACACACACACACACACACACACACACACACACACACACACACACACACACACACACACACAAACAAATCAATATAAGCCCAGCAGTTATATGGATCTATGAGTATATTGTATATTACAATTTGAGCGTAATTTAGAGACGAGACAGAGTAAAAATATATGTAACAATTTGCATATATCTGAAAATGTAGGAAATAAATAATATAATATAATATAATATAAGAAATGGAGAAGACTGTATTATAATCTAGTAATATTAATATAATTAGTTATATGATCTTACATGAAAAATATTTTCTTAATTTTTCTTATTAAGACAAAATAAAAAGCATTAGGGCTTCAAGATATTTACTTTAAAACAATATGAAACACAGACAAGCAGCAAATCTTCACATTTGAGAAGCTGAATGCAAAGAACATTTTCTATTTCCGCTTGATTCAACAACTGAAATGATTAATCGATTATCAAAATTGTTGCAGTTTAATTTTCTGTCAATGCCCAGCTGTTTCAGCTAAAAAAATAAAATAATAAAAAAAAAAAAAACAAAAGAAAAGAAAAGAGAAAAAAACATTTTTATGTTTCAACCTTTGGATTTTTTCCAGAGAAACCTAACTAAACGCTCCAAATGTGCAGTGTGAGAAAGCCTTGTATTAAGTAACCATTGGAGCACTGTGGTTCCCATAGTCGTAGCCACTGTGTTTTTATCAGCTGGTTCTAATAGTCAGCTGTTGGGAGCACCATTGCTCAACCGCTCAGCCTCATGTCACGCTACTGGCTAAATCCTCTAGATCTCCTCAGAAGGGCTTCAAAGGGGCCGCGGCCGTGGAGAAGCAGCCAGTCACTTAAGGACAGTAAGTAGTCATTGTACGGCCCTATTAGCCTGTAAGTAGCTATGAAATTCAATCATCTTCCCCGAGCCTCCGGGCAACGCTTTGTGTCAGGGGTGTGTTCCCCACTACTATGCTGTGCTAAATGAGAGATAAAATGAGGAGAACAGTATTGCAAACGATAGATAATAAGTTGTCTTTTTGATATTGATGTCAGGGGACGTTATTTGATGATAAATTACTTTACCGTAATCCTGGCAGCCAGGCTTTCAAGTGCTTGCTTGTACTGATTTAGGATTTGAATAAAAGTGTTTAGGCCACAGGAGTAATCATTGTTAATTTCTATTTTAATGAGATATGTTATAAATCGCCATAATTATCCAGCAAATAAATCCACTATTTCTGAATTATGTTCTAATGAAGCCTTACATTTTCTTTGAAGGTTTCGGTTAGCTCGGCATGTACTTGAACACATGTGGCTCCCTTTGTTTTTCTGAGATCGGTTTACCCATCTCATTTTTTTTTCTCAAGGAATAGTTTCCATTGAGAGAAAAATTCATCTGTGTGTTTGGTGCATGGTGCGAGCTGGGTGTCAGTGTGTATGGGTGTCAGTGATGCGTCAGAGAGCTCAGGACACTGAGCTGACAGAGTATACCTGCAGCTCCTCTGATGCCTGACCACTGAATGTATGCAGTGCAGGAAGAAGGAAAACACACACTTATATTCGACCAAACACATCGAGAAGACCCCTGAAAACACAGACACAGCTCGGCTTCAATAGTCTGCCTTCCCTTATCAGACGACACACCCTCTATCTCTTTGTGACGCGCATCAAAATCACGATGCCTTTCTATTCATACTGTGGTTATCTAATGAAGTTAATGCGGGTGTTGCAGTGTGGCACCCACAGACCTGTAGTCCTGCTGAGGCAGTGGTCACCCTTAATCACTCCTCCGCCTCCTTCTTATCCTCATTTATGTTCTTGTGATCTCATTCACAGAGCTCACACTTGTGCACACAGCCATGCACCTGGGCAAACACGCCAACTTTGTCCTTAGTTGTGTTCTCTGTAATTTCGAAGCTGTAAAGACTTAGTGTGTGTGTGTGTCTTTATGTGCCGCCTCCACGTGCACTGTCCTGGATTAGAGCTTCACCAAGACTCATCTGGTTTGACTCTCTCCCTGTGAGGATATTTCAGAGACCTCTCACGGTGCTCACCTGCTCTTCCTCAGAAGTGAGCCAAACACCTACATACCTCACGTATACACTGATGTGCAAGAACAGCCGTGAACCGCCACTCATGTGTTGTTCATTCATATCAGAGGCCTCGGCATTGTATCACAGCCTCGCTTACGTTCACGACTTTACATTAGCATCAATACATTTTGGTTAGCTATCATTACTTTAACCTCTGTAATCTGTAAGTTAGACTACGCCTGCAGAACGGACTCACATTCTCTACAGGAAAGCAATACCACTGCGATGTCATCGTAGCTTTTTTTAGGTCAGATTTACAAAGAAATAAATCTGTATCAACACCTGGGATAAACTTTACCACCCCTGTGTCCTCTCTGCCATCCATTGCATACCAAAGGTAAATACATCATAGAGGTGTGACTAAATATGCGTACTCTCTGCAATTTACCTTTGTAATAGGCTCCTTAAACTGAAGAAATTAATCGATGTTATTAAAAGCTCAGTGGCTTATCATGTGGTTGGAATTTTGATTTGTAAAGGGGAGGAATAATACATGACATCAATAACCATTAAAATGAGTGATTGTCTTTCTCTCTCTCTCTCTCTCTCTTGTTTCATTCATCTATAAACCTTGCAGCTTGACCTTCAGTTCACAAACAGCTCTTTATAGTACCAAACTTGCACAGTAACTCACTACAATATTCATATACAAATGTATTCATAATACCGGCTGATCTGCTGGTGTGAACGCAACATCCACACACACACACACACACACACAAAAAAAGTCTGGATGTTTTTAAGTTCTCAGTAAATACATTCTTGAAGTTAAAGACGAGCCAGAAGAGAATAACTCCCTGTCATCACACGTACAAGAGTGTTAGTTTAAAAGTTATTTCATGACCTTTGCAATGCGCTTTACCACTACAATATTCCATACGGAGATTCCCCTGAAAACTCGCACAGAAATTTCTGCCAACTTTAGCAGAAGGCGGTTTAAGATCTGCTGCTCTTTTTTTTTTTTTTTTTTTTTTTTTTTTTTAACTCCGTTGACTCTTTTGTCACAGCTCACAATAAGTTAGTTAACAGATGTGTTGAGATGTATGAAATTATCATTAATATTTAACTGTAAATTTGCAATTATCTTAGATGCTGGCAGACATGCATACATATGAGTACAGATGAAGAAGATAAAACTAAAAACAATAGATACCAAGTAGCATTTTGCTACTGACAGATAGTAGTATTAACTGTAAACATTTCATGAACAAAGTAACCTGCCTTGCTAATTCATTTCAACATTATCATAAGGGTGTAAAAGTCCACGTCAGAGAAATACTCAACTTTTTGCAGAGCAAATCTAAGCAAGGTTTTCACCTGATGACTGAAAGTTATGTGTGTGTCTCTGGGTGTAATATTTTGCCCTTCACACTGCTTTATATCTCTCTATTTCTCCCCTATCCCCCTGACTTCAAGTTCAATCCAAGTCAATATGTGAACAATACAGACACATTTATTCGTTGCCAGAATTCTTTGCCCTTCACTTTGGCAGGACTTTTTACCTTCTCCACTCCTCAGCCCTTCATCCTTTTCTCCCTCTTTCTACTCATCCCTCTCTCCTTTCCTCTCCCATGGTTGTTTCCAGACAGACCCACGGCCAATGTGCACCAGATGCCCCCCCCCCATCCCACAGCCTGTCACCGCTCACTCCTCTGTTCGATACCGACAGATGGAATTGCTATCAGTACTGGCTTCTCTGTCTCAGCCTCTGTCTCCCACACTCCACACTGTCTATTTTGTCTTCCTCCTTCTTATCCCTTACCAAGTGAAAAATAAGTAGAGGGAGAGAGAGAACGAGTGGAAAGAGATGGAGAGGGGGAGCGAGATACAGCCTTTGCAGCCAACATATGGGCCAAAGCCCAGGGTTTTCCTAAGCGACATTCTCAGTAATGTTCTGTCCTTGTAGAACATTGGGCTGCCTCCGCTTTTATGAGATGTGGTTTTCCTGACTCCACACGGCTTCCAGAAGACCCAGATGGAACCGCTAACAACCCCCACCACCGCCACGCAACCACACACACACACACACATACACACACATACCGTACACACACAAACAGGCTTA